CGTCTGCGCTCCGCCGCTGCCCCGCTGCCTGTCCCGCTTGCTTGGCATGTGGTTCTTTGCAGGTTGATGTGTTTTCGCTGTGCGGTGTGGCCGTGTTGTTGGTGTTGCCTTGCGCTTCGCTGCTTCACTGCCGTGCTGCTCATCCGCTGGCCGTGCCTTCCGTGTTTGCCGCTTGTGTGCCCTGTAGGTTGGTTGCCTTGTTGCTGGTGCCTTGTGCTCCGCTCCACAGTTGCCAACCTGCTGGTGCGCTCGCCTTGTCGTCCCCTGCAGTGATGTTGCCTTGCTTGTGTTGTCTTGTGCTTCATTTCACGGTTTCCGCGCTGCATCCTCTGTGCCATGTCGTTCCTTGCAGTCGTTTTTGGCGTTGTGCAGCCGTGTTGCCTCTACTGTGTTGCCTGGTGCTTCACAAGGTTGCCTCCCGCTACTATGTTCCTCTTGGGAACAGTCTGCCTTCAACAAGGGTCAAAGGGTTCATGACCCAAACCATCAAACACGGGGTTCTGCAGATTGTCGAGGGTTCAGCCTGCTGATGAGTCGGTGTAACTCCGACGAAACAATCTTTCATCATCTGTTTATTTTTTTCAGTCTTTGTTTTGTTTATACTTATATTTTTTTTCGGGTGTTGTGTTTGCATTGTCGTCGTTTGTCTTGTTGTTGTTTCCCTCGCTGCCTTAAGCTGTTTGCTTGCCCATCCGTCTACCCCATGCCTTTCACCCAGTGTGCTTTGTTGTGTTGTGCTGTTTGCCTTGCTGTTGTTTCCCTCGCTGCCTTACGCTGTTTGTCGGACAAAGGAGTGTACTCGGTGCAACCCCTGGGTAATTAGTTTCGTACATCCGAAATAACCATTGTTCAAGGGTCTGCATTATCTGAGAAGGCGTTCTGTATAGTATAGTTTGCTGCGCTGTTTTTGGCGTGGTGGCTTCCTGTTCTCGCAACACACACACACACACACACACACACACACAAAATCAGTTTTAGGTATGTTTGTTTTTCCTCTTCCTCCTGTTTTTCTAAGTGTTTTTTGTGTCTCTAGCCAAGCACCCTCTAGCAGTGCCAAACAGTCGGTGGGTCCTCGTTTGGAGTGCCAACTGCACTCTTAGGGGGGCCGCTCGGTTCGGGATGTCTGTGTTGCCTGTGGATGATGACCGATGGTTGTCAGAGTGTCTCCCTGGCTCAGCGGTGGTGGGAACCAACAGTCCGCGGGGTTCAATTGTGATGTGAGTGGGTCATGTGCTGCTTAGCTCCGTGTTGGATGTGCAGACTGCCTTGTCTGCACTCTGCCGCTGCCTTGCTGCCCGTGCCGCTTGCTTCGCAGGGCGTCCTCGCTGCTCTGCTGCCTTGCCACCTATCTGCAGGCCGTGCCTCCTGTGTCTTTTGCTCGCGTGCCTTGTGGTGTGGTGGCCTTGTGGTGGTGCCTCGTGCTTCACTGCATGGTTGCTGAGCTGCTTGTCCGTGTGCCCTGTCGGCCTTCGGTGTCCTTTGCTTGCATGCCTTGTAGTTTGGTTGCCTTGTTGGTGATGCCTTGTGCTTCACTGCACGGTTGCCGAGCTGCTCGTCTGCTTGCCCTGTTGGCCTTCCGCGTCCTGTACTTGCTTGCGTGCCTTGTAGTCTGGTCGCCTTGCTGATGTTGCCTTGCGCTTCACCGCACGGTTGCCGAGCTGCTCGTCCGCTTGCCCTGTCGTTCCTTGCAGTCATCTTTGGTGATAAGAAGTTGCCTCTAATGCGTTGCCTGCTGCTCCGCAGGGTTGCTGCCCACTGCTATGTCCCTCTTGGGGACAGTCTGCCTTCAGCATGGGTCAAAGGGTTCATGACCCAAACCATCAAATACGGAGATTCCGCGGATTGTCGAGGGTTCAGCCTCTTGATGAGTCGGTGCAACTCCGACGAAACAATCTTGTTATCATCAGTTTTTTTCTTTTCTTCGGTCCTATGATTTTTGTGGGACTTGTATTTTTTCCTGTTTGCCTGTTTCGTGTGCTTGAATGCTGTCTGCCCTCCCGCCTGCTTGGTGTGCTTGTGTGTCGTCTGCCCTTCCACCTCCCCTGTGCCCTCCAGCCTTTGTCCTCCGCTGTTGCTTGTCATCCCATGCCTTATGATGTCATGCCTTTTCATTGCCTGCTTGGTGTTGTTGTGTGTCATCTGCCCTTCCGCCTCCCCCATGCCCTCCATCCTATGTGGGACTTAGAAAACTGGTTGTGGTAAGCAACGGATGTATGAGGTAGCTTCAGAGAAGTAAAGTGGCAGCAGTGGTTTGCCTGTTTGGTTTGTTTGCGTGTGGCCTGTCATTTTAAGCTGGCAAGGTAGCATGGATGGGTGGCAGTTAAAACGGCGCGTGATGGGCTATGGGTGGACCTGGTGTACCACTGAAAGAGTGGAGTAGCATGGCGGATGCGCCGTGAGATCATTTCTGAACACACACACACACACACACACACACACACACACACACACACACACACACAC